AAAGGGCAGCACGGGAAGACAAAGCAAAGTATTATAATGAAATGTGCAAAGAACTGGAGTCTGAAAATCAAGAGAGTTCTACTTGCTCAGTATTTCCTAAGCTGAAGGAACTAAAAAACAAAATCAAGCCTTGCGTTGCAATACTTAAGGATGCTATGGGTAGAATATTGAATGATCCAGGAACTAGTAAAAGAAGATGGAAGGAGTATACAGAGTTATTGTACCAAAAAGAGCTGGCTGACACAGAAGAATTTCAAGAAGCAGCATATGATCAATAGGCAATTGTAATTAAGGAGGAAGTTCAGGCTGCTCTGAAACACTTGGCCAAAAATAAAGCCCCAGGAATTAATGGAATACCAATTGACATGTTTCAACAATCAGATGCTACCCTGGACATGCTCACCAGGTTGTGCCAAGAAATCTGGAGGACAATTACCTGGCCAACTAACTGGAAGAGACCCATATTTATTCCCATTCCATACCTGACAGAGTGTGGAAATTATCATACAATATCACTTATATCACAAGCAAAATCCTGCTGAAGATTATCCAGAAATGACTGGAACAGTACATTAATGGAGAACTACCAGAAATACAAGCTGGGTTTAAAAGAGGCTGTGGCACTAGAGATATTTTTTATTGTCAATGTCAGATGAATCTCGGCAGAATGCAGAGTACAAGAGGGACATCTATTGAGTTTCATTGACTTTGCAAAGGTGCTTGACTGTGTGGATCACAACAAATGAGGCTAACCTTGAGGAGAACGGAATCTCACAACACTTTAATGTGCTTATGTGAAACCTGTACTTGGACCAGGAAGCAGTTCTCAGAACAGAACAGGGAAACACTGTATGGTTCAAAATCAGGGAGTGCATTAGGGATGTGTCCTATCTCCATGCCTTTTCAATCTATGTGCAGAACAAATCAATTGGGAGGCTGGTCTTTATCAGGAAGAATGTTGCATCAGGATTGGAGGAAGACTTGTCAACAACCTACGTTATGCACATGACACAACCTTACTTGCTGGAAACTGAAGTGGACCTGAAGCACTTGCTGCAGAAGGTCAAGGACTGTAGTCTTCAATATGGATTAAAGCTCAACATCAAGAAAACAGATTCTCACCACAGGGCCAACTGGCAGCACCATGATGGATGGAGGAGATTGAAGTTGTTAACAGTTACCGTTTGCTTGGCTCCACAATCAACACTCTTGGCACCAGCAGTCAGGAAATCAAAAGACAAATTGCATTTGGTAAATCTGCTGTAAGGGACCTTTTCAGAGTACTGAGAAGCAACAATGTCAGTCTAGAGACTAAGGTGGGCCTGATCCAGTCCATGGTCTTTGTAATCACTTCCTATACATCAGAAAGCTGGATAATGACTAAGGATGATGGAAGAATTGATGCCTTTGAGTTGTGGTGCTTGAGAAGAGTCTTGAACATACCATGGACCGCCAAGAAAACAAATAGGTCTGTCTTGGAGAAGATGAAACCAAATTTCTCCTAGGAGGCTAGGATTTTGAAGCTGTCTCACATACTTGGGGCATGTGGCCAGGAGACTAATCCTTGGGGGACATCATGCTCAGAAGTGTGGAGACAGAATAGGAGAGGAAGACCTTGATGAGACGAGTTAATACAGTAACTCAGGCAATGGGGTAGGTACATAGGAGTCAGTGAGACTGACTCAGGACAGGAGAGGCTTCAGAGCTAATGAATATAGGGTCCCTGTGATTCTCAGGCGACTCCGCGACACATAACATATTCACTATAAGTATTTAAGGTATTTGAACTACTAATTCAAAGGCCTTGCCTCTCTAGTGGTTCAAATCCACCACCAGCTCCATGGGGAATAGATGGGCAATCTTCTTCCATGCTATTTACAGGCTTGAAAATGAAATGGAAGATCAGCTACATTTTGGGTCTGACTCTATGTCAGTAAGAGAGGCATAGGCATATATTGTTATTATGTGCTGCCAAGTTGCCTGGGACTTATAGCAATCCTATGAACAATGGATCTGAACCCTGTCCTATCCTCATCATGACATACTCAAGCTCATTACATTCAGTGCATCAGGCCATCTCATTGAGGGTCTTCTCCTTTACTGACTCTCCACCTTTTCAAACATGTCCTTTTCCAAGGACTGTTCCTTCCTAAGAACATGTCCAAAGTATGCAAGATGAAGTTTCACTATCCTTGCTTCCAAGGAATACCTATACCTTTTCCAAAACATAGTTGTTCATCCTTTTGGCAGTCCATAGGATATTCAGTACTCTTCTCCAACATTGTAACCCAAGAGCATCTATTCTTCTGTCGTCTTTAGTTATTGTCCAACTTTTAGATACATTCCAAGTAATGAAAAAAAAAAATCATAGTTTGGATGAAGTGCACCTTAGTCTTTACACTTATATAGTAGTCCTTCAGCATTGTGGACAGGTCCCTGACAGCTCACTTTCCCAGTGCCATATCTTTTGATTTCCTGGCTACTGGTGAGTGTCAAGGGTGTTGACTGTAGAATCAAGCAAGATGAGATCATTGACAATTTCAATACTTTTTCCATCTATCATGATGTTACCTATTGATCCAATGGTAAGGATTTTGTTTTCTTGATGTTGAGATGTAATTTATATTGAAGGCTATGATCTTTGATCTTCTGCAGCAAACATTTTAAGTCCTCTTCACTTTCACCAAGGAAGGTTTTGTCATCTACATAACACAGATTCTTGAATCTTCCTACAATCCTGATACCACATTCTTCTTCATACAACCCAGCCTCTTGAATAATTTGTTCTGCATACAGACTGAATACGTATAGAGAAAGGACACGGCCTTGGCATGCACCTTTCTTGATTTTAGACCGTGCAGTATTCCCTTGCTCTGTTCAGACAACAGCTTCTTGACCTAGGTGTAGGTCTCACTTGAGCACAATTAAGTTTTATGAGAGTCCGTTGTTAGGTGCCATCAAGTCAATTATGACTCAAAAGTGACCCTATGAACAGCACATCCGAACCCTGCCTTATTCTGCACCATCTTCATAATTGCTACCATGCTCAAGTTCATTGTGGTAGTCATTGTGTCAATCTACTTTGTTGAGGATCTTTCTTTCACTGACTCTCTACACAGCCTGATCTCTCTCCAAGGCATGGTTCCTCCTAAAAAGATGCCCAGAATATGTAAGACCAAGCTTTACCATCCTTGTCTTATCTCTAAGCGCACCCTGCTTGTACATCTTACGAGACAGACTTGTTTGTTCTTTTGATAGTTCATCGGATATTCAGTTCTCTTCTATAACAACAAATCAACAGCGCTAATTCTTCTTTTGTGATTCTCATTCATTATCCACAGAAAAATGCACAAGAAGAACTTGAAAAAGACTTGGATCAGGCACACTTCAGAAGTCTTTAACATCCTTGCAGATTTTGCCAAGGCAACTTTTATACATATAAATATTTATTTCTTGATTGCTGCCACCATATTAATTGTGGACCCAAGTAAAATTGAAATAGTTGACAACTTCAGTCATTTCTCCATCTATTATGATGTTACTTATTGGTCCAATGATAAGGATTTTTTTGTTGTTGTTGAGATGTAATCCATATTTAAGGCTGAGGTCTTTGGTTTTCTGCAGCATTTCAATTTCTCTTCACTTTCAACAAGCATGGTTGTGTTATATGCATAATGTAGGTTACTGATGAGTCTTCCTCTAATCCTTATGCCACATTCTTCTTCATACAATCCAGCTTCTTGGATGATTTGCTTGGCATGCAGATTGAATAAGTATGGAGAAAGGAAACAACACTGTCACAAATTTCCTGATTCTAGGTACAGGTTTCACCTGAGCACAATTAAGTGCTCTGGGATTCCTATTCTTAATGTCAGTCATAATTTGTTATGATCCACATCTTTCTGGTAGTCACTGCTTTCAACCATGACCTACTTCACTTGGCATCAGTAATGATAACCCTCATGTCATATTGTAAAACACCAAATAAGTTAATTGTTGATCAAGGTCAAAGAGAAAAGGTTTTGGGTTTTTTTCCAGTCACCTAGAGGGCACTTAAAAAGCTGTTATCACTTTAAACTAAATTATAGCTGGCATTTTTTAAGATTACTCCACTAATGGACTGCCTTCAGGACACTTTCCCTCATTTCGAAGAGAAAGGTGACATGAAGAAATAAACTTATTCACAGTTCCTACCCTGGACAGGCCTCAAGCTGTCTATTGTTTACCATCCCTTCCCTATTCCAGGCTTTATTGAAAAGCAAAGTTCAGTTTGACATTTGGAAAATGTCCTAAGGGTAAGAAGTGGCATCAGTGCTCTAATTATTTCTCTGTGCTCCTACTGCCGCTTTTTCATTTATTTTTTTGAATTTGAGAATTTTTATTTTGTTGATTACTGATACATTTAAAAAATGGTTCTTGCACTCCAGAAATGTTAGCTCTTTTTAGTTGATCATTATTAGCTATACTGTTGGAAAGAAAATTCTTTGAACTTGCTCTTTAACCATTTTACAGGATGGTTAACTCCCTCCCTGATAAGGCAGTAAAATTAAGACCACCACATTCAGGAAGCAGTTTGGCCTCAGTTGAAGTCTCAGATTCACTTGGTAGCCTGCCTTAAATGTAGTTTCCTTCTACTCTATGCCACAGAATAAAATGGGTTAATATAGGAACACAACTTAAGATATATCCTGGGGTGGGTTTGCCTGAAAATGTTGCCCACCCACCTTACTCAATGATACCTGGTCCTCTGGCCATTCAGGCCCGCCCTGTAAGGTAGGAAACTACTATTTGGCTCATTCTGAGAGAGAGAAATTAACTATATGCTACTTACTGGATGAAGGTCCCCCAAGAGGACATGTATCTGAAGCAGAATGGTGGCTGGTATTGACATAAGAGGTTATATCTTAAGTATATACATCTGAGTAAGCACACAGTCTTATTACCATTAAGAACTCTGAAAACAATAATTTTTTTAAAAATGTGTTTATTTCTTTTTTTTTTTATGGTGGACAGTTATCATTTGCCCCAACAGCCATCTGAAGCCAATAGTCTTGATTATTAAAAATCACAAAGTTGTATAAATGTTCTCCTCCTTTTTGAAAACCATGTTCTTGTTCTTTCCAAGAAACAGGGCTGTCTGCAAAGCCTTGAACACACAAGGAAATCCAAGGAGCTAACTTAGGCTGGTCAAAGTAGTGACTGAAAAAGAAGATAATTGTTAATAAACATGGAAAGTTAGAATGTTCATTTTTTAAAAAAAAATTATGCAAGACAACTAGTATTTATGAAGTCTAAAGAAAAGTAAGCCTAAACTTTAATCTATAAAAATAAGGAGAAGTGGATTAAATTCCCTATGTCATATTTTAAATGTAACAAAGATCAACACATTTCCCCCAAAACAAAAATCTCACATAGCTGGCAATAAGAATATTTTTACTCCTTTAAATGTTTCTTTCCATCTCTATTACTGTAGAATATTCTATTGACTTTGTTACTGAGGAAAATAAAAACCCATGGTAATAAATACAAAAGAGGATGATGGATTTTAAAAGGGAAACCTTTTTTTTTCCTAAATAAAAGGTTTCTCTTTTGTATATGAATTTTCACGATAGCACTACTCAACTAACAATAAATAGGTGGAAACAATCCAAATGTGCAGCAACTGATGATTAGAAAAACAAAATGTGGCTTATTCATTCAATGGAATACTATTTTAGCATGAAAAGAAATGAAGTACAGATGTATCCTGCAACATGGACAAACCTTGAAAACATTACAAGTGGAAGAAGCAGGTTTAAAAGGCCACACATCATCTGGTTCAATTTACATCAGAATGGTGAAATCCATAGATTGAAAGCAGATTAGTGGTTGCCAGTGGGTAGAGTGAGGAGGTGAAGAGTGGAGAGGAAAAGCTTAATTATGAGGTCTCCTTTTAAAGTGACGGGAAAGTTCTGGAACTAAATAGTGGCGATGGCTGCACAATATTGTGAATGTAGAAAATGCCACTGAATTGCACTTTAAAAGGGCAAGTTTTATTTTACATAAATGCCATCATAATTGAAAAAAGGATAAACCTTACAACTTAGACAAAGTCAATAAATGTGAAAAAGGATGTTGGTTTAAAAAAGGAAACTTCTCAAAATTTAAATCTCAAACATCTTAAAAAAGAAGACTGAGAGGCATGCTTGCTAAATAAAACTATACTCTATAGACTATTAGGGTTAGACCATGTTTGAAATATGATTTGGATTTAAGAGTGTTCAAACTCTTCTAACCCCCTCTTCTTTTTTTCTTTTCTACAATTTGTTGAAGTGAAATATCTTGTAGAATTCCAAAACTTGACCCTTTTTGCCCCTACAGAGAACACTCCTGTTTTCTTAGGTGCTGTTATAACTTCTAGCTACTCAAAATGTGATAGAGTAGTATAAGGAGAAAAACCAAAGAGTTTAGGGTGTGTGTATA